GGGGTGGGATGGGATGGGATAGGCTGGGATGGGATGGGATGGGATGGGATGGGATGGGATGGGATGGGATGGGATGGGATGGGATGGGATGGGATGCGATGCGATGGTGCCGGAGTTTGGTACCCAAAATGGGACCCCCGACTCTGAACCTCGGCGGGTCGGGTGGGACCGTTCCTGCGTACCGGCTGGTAACAGCGTGGCGGGAAAGCCCCGCGCTAAGGGCAGGGGCGAGGGTGAGGGGTTCCCCGCCCGTGAGGCGCGGCGAAAGCCCCGCGGGATTGGGCTACAAAGGAACCTGAGGGGAGGGCTGGATCCGGGCGGCGACCTGGGAAGCTGGTGGGGTTCAAGGGTTTTCCTTCGTGTTCGCTTCTGTCCCTCGAAATGGGTAATCCATTTTCGGCGGAAGGGGGGCATCTTAAAGAAATGCCCTTTCAGGGGTGTTTTGAAGCATTGGAAACAGGGGGTGACCCTCTTACGAGGAAACGGCTGATTGAATATTGTAATAATTGGTGGCTGTTGTGTACTCTGGAGGATCAGGAGAAACGGCTGAGGAATGGGACTTTGAAATGCACCACCATTCTACAGCTCGTGTTGTTTTGGAGAAGGGAAAACAAATGGGATGAAGTGCCGTATGGAGATTTGTCTCCCCCTCCCTGAAGAGGATGGTGGCCGCACCCCATGGGAGCCCACGGCCTTTTCTTTAGAGAAGGAGAGGGTGGGAAAAATTTCAGAAGGTGTTGTTTGGCACGTGGTATTGCTGACAACATTAAAGGAAATAATGGGATGGTCGGGCTACTCTCTTCAGATGGGAATTGTGTTGGAGGACACAAGGTAGACCTAGGGCACGTTTCACATGGGATAGGCAGAAGCTTCTGTACACTATGTGTTTTTAATGACACGTACAATAAAGATTCTGCCCCAGAATGCACAACCCTCAGGAGAGAACCTAAAACTTGGAGAGGGACATTGGATATACATGGGGCATACTGAGTGGTGTATAGAATGGGGAACACACCCCATTCACAATATCAGCAGAACTAAGTGGAGATGTCCACAAAAATTAAATAGCAGTAATATTGCAGTTCTTAATGCTATGATAGCCCTGATAAGTCGGTGCAAATCTAATCATTCTGAAACATGCAAAACAAATTCCTTCCCCAGGATATTCAGTCTGGGTCGCTTCAGATGGATTCCAGACTGATCGACTCCGCCTAAGTCCAGTTACCCAGCAGATAACATCAGGACTTCTAACATTATGTCCCACATGCAGACAAAACCCAATAAAACCAGACTTATGGGAAAAATAAAAAGGGAAGCTGAAGAGGAAGATAGACGGGCAGGACCCTCAGAAGCTGTAGAGTTTGGTTTGGGACTTCAAAGCTTTCTGTTACCAGGATTGATGGCCCTGGAAAATCAAATTTTAGATTAGAAAATCTGACACGGCAAGTAGGAGTACTTTCCAAGGCCACAGAGAAAGGGTTCCAATTAATCAACAGACAGGTACAAGCAAACACCAAGATGACCCCGCAAAATAGATTTGCCCTAGATTTGCTCTTAATAAAAGAACAAGGAGTTTGTGGATTTTTAAAATTAGATAAAGAACACTGTTGTATACATATACCCAAAGTAACTGGAGAACGGTTAAAGAAAATGAGAGGAGTAGCAAAGGATAGTCGTGCTATTCGAGACGCAGCTGAACAAAATCGGTTCAACAAGATTCTTCAAGGAATTGGGAGGATGGTCTTTAAAAAGATGGTTAGCCTTGTTATGTGAAGGGATTATTCTCTTCATAATTTTAGTGATAGTAATTGCAATAAGTCTTGGGTGTACTAAAAAGGCAATTGAGAAAAGTATTTGGAAGTGAGGCTCCTGAAGGAAGTTTCAGAAGCCTCAAAGCCGGGAATTGATACAAAATTGGGTTTTTAGGCAGATGTTGAAATAGTTAAATTGCAGACAGAATGGAAACAATGTAAATAAAGATAACTGCAAAGAACTCAAAACAGGAACAACTTGGACTGCTACTCAAAACCAGAGACTAGTACAAACCGGTCTAGAAGGTTAAGCAGCTGAACACAAGACTGATAGGAAAGGCACCTCCCAAGTTGCCAAGGAGAAGAGCATAAATTTCACCCAAAGGACAACAAGGGGGCCCCTCAAGAAGAGAAAAGAGACCACCAGGGACCCTCAGGACCACCACTAAGGAAGAAAGCACATGCGTGGCTGGGAGGGGTTAATGCTAATGAGTTCTGGGAAACAATTTCCATATATATAACCTTTCTGAGAAATTGCATGAATATGTAAAGCGTACAATGTAAAAAATGTAAAAAACCAGAATCTAGCTAGAAGCTGTAGTATGCACGCTGGGCAGAGTGATCCCCCGTGCATGCAGTGCTGCAATAAAGAGAATGCCTTCTTCTTAATGCTACATTGGTGTTAAGGAGTTTATTCCCGATTTCGGTGACTTGAGGAGGAACCTGCGGCTGTGGGGGTTCAGGACAAGAAGCTTTGCGGTCAGTTAGTGACGGCGGGTTTCGGGATAGAGCGCAAGCAATGCAGCGGTGAACACCACCTTGCTGCAGGGATGGACTGCCACACCTCGCAGGGCTCTCGAGACAGACAGGGCAGTCTCCTCAGGGCTGCAGTGAACGTACACTCAGCAGAGTCTTGGAATCATCTAAGTTGGAAGGGACCTTTAAGATCATCCAACCATCAACCTAACACTGCCAAAACCACCACTAAACCATGTCTCTCAGCACTGTGTCTACCCTTTTTTTAAACATCTCCAGGGATGGCGACTCCACCACTTCCCTGGGCAGCCTGTTCCAATGCTTGACAACCCTTTCAGTGAAGAAATTGTTCCTAATGCCCATCCTAAACCTCCCCTGGCATAACTTGAGGATGTCTCCTCTTGTCCTATCACTTGTTCCTTGGGAGAAGAGACCGACCTCCCCCTCCTTTCAGGGAGCAGTAAGGTCTCCCCTCAGCCGCCTTTTCTCCAGTCTGAGCACCCCCAGTTCCCTCAGCCGCTCCTCATCAGACGTGTGCTCCAGACCCCTCACCAGCTCCGTTGCCCTTCTCTGGACACACTCCAGCACCTCAGTGTCTTTTCTGGTAGTTCTTGTACTGAATACAGCACTTGAGGTGGGGCCTCACCAGTACCGAGTACGGGGGGACAATCACTGCCCCTGTCCTGCATCTTAGATGCAGCTGTTTTCCCACTAACAGGTATCTTTAATTGTTTTAACCAGGTTTCACTAATAAATCTTTTAACACATGAGAGTAAGGATTGAGTCTTGTATTGAAAGTGGTGAATTTGATTAAGACTAAATGCTTCAATATTAAATCAGTTTGTGAAGTGACAGCAACCTAGTAGCAAAGAGGGCACTCTCGGCAACAGACATCATAAAATCAAGTTATCCCTTCCTTTCCTCCCATTCCTTCTTCAATGCACACCCTGTTCTTCCCAACAAACTCTAAACACACCAACACTGATGAGTGCAGAATGAGCCTTTCCCTTCCTATGGGCACTAATTTAAATTTCTCTCCTTTGACAGTCACCATTTTTCACAAGAAAGCATAGAAACTCAATAAACTTCAGATACCTTACTCTCTCAAATTAGGCTGAAATAAACATAAAAACATTAAACCTGAGAAAAAAAAAAAAGTCCCTTTTTTTACTGTGAAGGTGGCCAAACACTGCAACAGAGGTTGTGGTCTTTATCCTTGGAGTTTTTCAGGATACGGCCCTGAGCAACCTGCTGTAGTCGGCCCTGCTCTGAGCAGGGCGCTGGACTGGACAATCTCCAGAGGTTCCTTCCAACCACAGCTATTCTGTGCATCTGCAATTTTGCTGGACTGAAAAAAAAAAAAAAAAAAAAGACAGTTCACATAGTTCACATCAAAGGAAAATGGAAAGGGTCAGGGACCAGATTCAGGGGTTAGGGCAGGGCTCAGGGTCAGGAGTCACGTAAACAGAAGTGTAATAAATCTGCAGCCTCATCTCTTTAGCTTTCATCATTTATTCAGGAATGTAAGTACAATTAAGTGGTTTGGGTTATTGGTCTTAAAAACCCACTCAGGAATGTAAGCAAGAATATGGAAGCGTCACATGGCTAACAATACTCTTCAAAAACACATCGACTGAGGTCTGATAAATATCCAAGATAAAATACCAACCTCAACGTTTTTTAACTCTCCAATTTCAAGTATTATCAATAGAATTGTATACAGAAACATCAACAACTTTCCAACAGTGGAATTACAACTCCTAGACACCAGAGAAATGCTTGCTGATAATCCAGGAGCTATGATCAAGACACTCGTGTGTTAAATGAGAATGGACTGTGCTTATATCTACATAACTAATTTAACATTTCCTTGTTTGTCAAGTTCTGCAATAGCAAGTTCTTTCAAGATTTGTATTCTTGAGTCAGTCGCTTTCATATTCATCTTGTTCATCTGTGAAACACTCAATGCTGCTCTGTAAGACAAAAGCAAACTATTTAGCAAAACAGGTTATCAAACTTCAGGTCTGGCAGAAAAAGGCTACAAAGCACATACTGTTTAATGAATGATTTTTGCAAGTGCGCTGTAATTCTCATACTTATTCAGACTGTCATCAACTTTTCTGTGCTACTTCAAACTGTGAACAGCCATTTGCTAATCCAACCTTAGGGTCAGAGAGACAGAATTTCCAAGTTCAAAACTTCCTCATTTTTAACATCAGCCTGCAAGAAACCTGCAGCACACGCACCAGAGAGGGACCAGGGCTTGGGGAGGCAGGAGGGCTTGGGGCGAGGAGGGCAGGGCTCAGGGGTCGTGGATCAGCATTAGGGCTTTACTCTTCCAGCCTGGGTGCACATTCTGAAAGCTAAAAGGGTTTGGTGGGGTGAGTGCGTCAGTAAAACTTCCCTGAATAGACCCAGTTTTGGACATCTGTACACTGAAACCAAAGTGAAAAAATCCATTTCTGAAGAACCTGACATTCGGTTTGGAAAATTACCAAATCATACAAGCCATTTTTATACAAATTAATTTAGGGGGGTTTGTACAATGGCCCTTTACTTCAGGGTAAACCCTAACTAAGAAGGGTTCAGGGGAGTAAAATCAAATTATGAAGTTACAATAATAGCAGAAAATGGTTACCTAGCTGTTTCTGTTTAATTTGAAAAGGCTGAATTTCTCTACAGCTTATAAAATTTTTACTAAGAAATGGCTTTAAGTCTTACCTGTTCTTATTTACAACAAAGTGGTTAAATAACTCCCTGTACAAATTGTTCAAGTCTGCTAATTTAACAGTACTTCTGATACTCCTTGGTACAGTCATAAGTATTTCTTCAGTCAATGGTTTGAATTGCAATTCTAAAAAATTAGAAAATATTTGTTTATTTAGAAATTAGGCCAAAAGATAGAAAGTACTTTCATTACTTTTTAAGAAACCCCCTAAACCGGTGTAAAGCAAGATTTTTTTCCAGCAAGAGGAAGGAGAGAAGAAAGATGCTCCCTCCAAACTATCATTGTATCTGCAGACCCAGTGAAAAATCGTTTCATTTGAGATCTGATATGGATTAACAAATTCAGGCTGTCAACGACTAGTTGGTTGTTTTGGCTTTTTTAAAAAGAACTAAGGAAATTCCTTTCTATAAGTAGGGATAAATGGATTTAAACAGAGCTATTTCTATGGTAAGACTAGTACACCATTTCTTCCAGATCATAAACACAACTGTATCCACTTCAATCTCATCAAAAGAAAGAAAAACTCCCAGAGACATAGGAACTATACGTGGAATGTAACTAAGGGGTCAGTTTCTTACATTATAGTCTAAATTCTTCAGTTCACATAAAAGCATTAGTTACAAGTGCCGGAGAGTGAAAAGAGTGAATTTACTGTGTATCATAGGCTTTATGTTTTTTAAACGACAGAGCTCAGAAACCATACCTAGGTCTCAGCCTATTCCTACTTACTGTGAGGTTTGGACATATCGCACTAGGGATAACGCAGCCCTTATTTGTCCGCTGAAGTTATTTACAACATCTGTCTTTTTCAGAAATTAAGTAGTTTAATTAATTACTCCCTGAATTCTAGGTGGTAACTTGACATGTTTAAATAGCACAGAACGATTAGAGTTCAATGTTAGAGACAGAAGTCTTGAGAGACTGGTACTATTCACAAAGCTCACTTCCTGGGGCTGGGGGGTGGGGGGCATCAGTCGAGAGGAGACAAAAAAAAAAAAGAAAACAGCAGGAAGATTATTCTTTCAGCATTTACCTTCAGTTGAGCCAGGGTCTGTAGATCCTGAACAAAATGGCTAAAAATAAACACAAGATAACGTCAGGATTTGTTATTTGTTGGAATTTCATTTAGAAATTATTTTTTACAATTTCGTTTCGGCATGAGTAATTACATTTTGCCATTGGATAACCAAGGATCTTGCAGCCCCTGAAGTCAACAGCAAAACAGCATTAAACAAACCCTGGTTTCAAATAAAAATAAGTTTAAAATGGACACAGAAAGATTTATATACAAGTCAGACGAGCCTGTTCAGCTTCATCCTTTGCATTCCGGTATGGATCTAGCTGAAAGCAATGCACACGCAGCAGAGGAAAAATATGGCTTTCCTATTCTCCAGCAACCTTCAGAGGCTGACAGTTCTGACAAGATGAAGGTAGCTATATCTAAGTCTCCTCAGCCAGAAAGACAGCACTAACGAAAAAATCCAGGGCCTTTGGGACATCTTTCCATCCTTTCTGCCTTTCAGAGTACGTCTTCAAACACACTCAGTGACAACACAGGGACTGATACCAATTAAAGCGCCCTCAGTAGCTGTAGGATACAGCTACAGTTTGCATTGGGCCCGTGTTATGTCAGCTGTATCTTAAGTGCTTTAGAATTAAATAATGGAAAGACAGAAACAGAGAGCATTGATCAAGGTAGCAGAAGATACTTGGAACCGAAGAGTGAATGAAGCTGCAAGATACTGGCTGGCTTTCGTGCAAACCAACTGTGTCAATAAAGGGACAGAAAGGGAGGCATCCTTTGACAGAAGAGTAGTGGGCAGTGAGAAAACATGCAGAAAAAGATAAAGTCAATAAAATAATTACATGCTATTAACCTTCTTTAATATTTAGCTTTTAATATGAGACCCAAACCATGTCTGCAGATAATTATATTAGAAGTTTGTGCTTTGAGTAGCTGTGGGAGAATATCTGACTTTTTAACAAGTATTAGTTTAGATTTATGTTCTACTGCATTACAGTTAGAATATACTTATTGTTACTCATATTCCAAAATGTATCTAATATTTTACAGGAAAGTAAAATTCTCTCCACTTTGATATACATTGGTTTGAATCAATTACATTCTTCGCTCCCACCCCAATGCATTAACAGAACAATAGAACTGACAAGAGCAACCAACTGCATTGCTGAAAAGAAACATAAACATACCCCAATTAAAAAATAAGGGAAACAAAGTCTTCCATCAAAGCAAACTTCTCCTTTGTGGACAATTTAATTGGAACAAATCATAATCAGTATACATTAAAAATGAAAAGGTTTGTTGGAAACTTTAGTCCCATTTCTGAAAAATTCCATTCGTTTGAGAGGTATGAAATCACAAAACCAGCCTTTCTGACTTCAGCAGAGCTATATTCAGGATTAATGGTTTCTGGAATAGTGACACACTGTGGCCTAATTACCTCTTCCACTAGTGATTCCATTTCTTTAACAGTTTGGCAGGTTAACTGCTGTGCTGCACTCTGTTCTTCTTCTGACAGAGGTAAGCGCTACAAAAAAAAAAAAAAAAAGAGAAAAAACCACATACACAGATATCTCCGACAGAGTTCCTAGGATGATAATATTTACAGAAGGCCTTTTCACATGGAAACTAATAGTAGACTCCTACTTTCCTTCAAATAAAAGCAAATTTACAAGCTAAGTATTTCTGAAAAAGCCAACCATAACATTCCTTTAACATCAATACTACAAATGATTCAAGAAGATAAATTATTCAACAAAAAGAAGTATTTTACTTAAAGACTTACATTTCTCCATAACAGTTTAATCCATCTTTGGTTTAGGAAATATACAAAGTACAAGAAAATCTTTATCTAAAAGGTCTAAATATAACTCAAGAGACATGAGTCTTCCACTTTAACAAAATCCAAATATGAAATTATTCTTGGCAGCATATCCTTGGAACATAGAGAAAGAAAATCTTTTTTCCTGAGACATATAACTACTGTCTTTTAAATCATTATACAGCACATTTGATATATAAAGACTTACCAGTATCTTTTCTAGAGCTGCTGACAGATTAAACGCAATCTCAGTGCACTGTCATTAGAACATTAAAGTGAGAGCCGAGATCTGGGAATATGTTTTAGTCACACCAGTTCTGTCTCTGCCACTAGACTATCAATTAGCTTTTTTGATCTAAATCACCTTATTTGTAAAGGGACAAAATTAATGATTTCACAACCTCTTCAAAACTGTAATGAGGCAGTGTATGAAGACCACTTAAGAAAATGTGGTGGTGGTGGTGGGGGGGGTTAATAGATAGGCATTATCATACTGAGAAAAACTTACTTTGCACAAACAGCAATTCCACCACATATGTTACAATACGTCGCTTTTAACTTACTCACTTTAGACAGTGAAAAAACATTTGCCATTTAACACGTTTTTTGCCTTACAAAATCAGTTTCACTTTCTAATTTCTTTAAGGTAGCTACTTTTTTTAAAAGTCAGTATAGAACTGGGACACAGCTGTGCACAGAGGCATCAATTTCTACAAACTATTCAAACGTGTGTTGCACTATTCACACTATTACGCTATTACTTCAACTCCAAAACTGAACACCACCAGCTTAACTGTTGAGTGATGAATCAGGCTTGTGATTTAAAAAGAGCTCCAATTATGCACACATTTCTTCAGGTAAACGGTCGTCTTATCTTCTACGAGTCTGCACATATAACAGTTTTCAGTGGAACTACTCACATCTACATAAAGGTTACACAAATACGTGTTCATGTACAGGAGTGAGACCCGAGTGCTTGAAATGAAAATACTACCTCAAGATCAGCGTGTTGCTGTAATGCCTGAACCATCTTCATTGTGTTCTCTAGAGCAGCACGGATGCCCTTCATGGATTCTCTCTGCTCTATGGAAACTTTTTCCAGCTGCATACATAACATTTTATAACGTGACTTCACCACCGAGAGTTCTTCCAAGAGAGCAACTGGATTTTCCTATGTAGAAATTAAAAGTACATTTAAACTATTTAAGACGAGAAAATTAATGCGGCCACATACCAATTACAAGTGTTGGCATTAGAGCCACTAAAATATAATGTGAAATGATATACAAAAGTGTAGCGGTGAGCATCTGTTTCATCCATACATTTAATTTTTCATAGGCAAAAATGATAGATAGTGTTAATAAAACAGCACAACTCTGTGGTTCCACAACAAACATGGGAGGATGAATTTATTGTGTTGTTGGAGTTTAATGGCTTTTCTGAGTTGAAATAAATTAGGGACTTCTAAGTAAAAAGATTATTTTTCCACTATATGTCACAATATACACGGAGACAAGGACTTATTTATAAAATCCTTTACATGCTGCCATTTTATTGTTTTCCTCGTCCTCTCATCTCTCCCCCAAATCTGAATTTAGTCATTGCTTATTAGCAAGTTGATCTTTGATCTCAGAGCAAGGGTGCATTTGAGCTCAGATTGGAATATGTCTCTTCAATTTAGGTGTTAACACTACTACTCATTTCTCAAAGCAGAACATGGGGAATTTCACTATAACAAGAAATCAAGGGTGGGGTTTTTTTTTTGCTTTCTGCACTGAATTCATATTAGGCCAGTTATCTTGATACATGATGCAAGAAATACTTTATAATAACAATAAAAAATTAACAACTTGACAAAAGAACAGCCACATATATTTCACCATTAGAGAAAATTACCCATTTATTACCAACTTCATGCAAAATGCAATAAAATCTATTCATTTAATCTGAAAATACTACCTCTGCTGCTGGATTATCAGGAAGACTTTTCATTATTTCAAACTCCAGTCTGTGTTGAATATAATCCAGATCAGATTCTGCTTTCTGGAACTAAAATATTTAAGATCAGCCACAGAATATTAAAAACCAAAAATTGCAGACAAACCCCAACTATTTGCCTTTCCTGTACCTCAGGAAAACAGAAGCCAGATGCCTCCGTTTTAAAGGCTCAAGTACTATAAAAGTAAGTTTCTATTCCATTAGCTATCGTTTGCCAACTGTGCTGACACGCCTCTAGCCTACAAAATATAAAGGAATACAGACTTAACCTAACCATTTTCCTCTAATGTGTAAGGATCAAATGTGTGTGTACACACACACTTCTATTAATTTTATCCTTGTTCCATTTGTCTAACCCAAATTACCCAATTGTTCTCTTTGCATCTTGCCATTAGTACCTTTCCCATGCGGCAACCCAAAATGCATTAGAACATTTCCATCTCTTCCTATATTATCTTCCATCCCCCTTGGAATGCCAAACCTCTCAAGATTAAGTTTTTAAGAACTACACCAAAGAGGTAAGTTAAATCAATAGAAAAGAACATGCATCTTTTTTAAACTGATCTTCACTTGATGCAGAAGATGTGTGATTTTTTTCTCCTGAGATTTTAACATATTTTCCATCAATTTTTAGCTTTTTCTTGGCTACTTGCTTTTCTTTTGAAACATTACAAGTTCTGTTAGCAAAACTGCAATAGTTATTTACAGTTATTTACAGAGCAGAGATTATGAATAAGCGTTCAGGATCCAAGTACATCAATAGATATTTTATTATTAATTATATTAGGAATGCATTCTCTCAGATGGTTATAATACCCATAATACATTTTATTATTCCCCAATAAATGAGACTGACAAATAGGTAATAAAATTGATGACATCACATTTTTTTCCTTGGGATAAATAAGCCACCAGAGAATTATCTAATTGCCTTGTAAAACAGTCTGGTGATAGTATTATTACTTAATTAATTTTAATCTGCAATTTTAATTTGTTAAGAACTTCTGCTTTAAAGAAAGGCTGTTTTCCCAGTTCACAAAAACCTTGTGAATTTCTTAACGTAATAATTTGAGGATTTTACAGTCACAAAAGAGACAATGATGAAAGCAAGTTAAAAATAGTTGTAACTTCCTTAACTTGGTTTTCACTACTTATATTGAGATTAACCCTGAAGTAACCGTTACAACTTTTTTAAGGATGGAAATAAGGCTATATTTGTTACCTGTCTCCAAAAGCACTAACTAGCAGTGCTCTAATGGTAGCTGAAGTGAGAAGATTCAATAGTCTTTGGATGTAGCCTGTAGCCAGGCCTGGATACCAAAAGGATGTTTATGTTTTAAACATCAGCCTTGGGATCCACCTTCAGGAACTGCCATTAATACCTTTGAGGATCTGGAATGTCAGATAGCCTAAAGGAATAGTGTTCAATCCAAGATACTCTACACGTAAAATCCCCTTTCTGATGTACTGAAAATGTATGATCTTTCATATACATACACACCTTCAGCAATTTCTCAATTAATAGCTTTAAAAAAACTAAAAATCAAGTAAAGGCCTTGAGCATCTATAAATCCAAGTGTAAGCTTTCACCTGTTACTCCCACAACTCATCATCTGACCAACAAAACTCCTTCCCACGTTTACCCCAGAAAACCAGTCATTATAAAATGCAAGAATAAAATACTTTTTATCACACTATGTATTTTCAAAGAATTTATGAGGGATTTTTCCTAAGTGCTCAATCATTTCTGTTCTCCTCCACTAGTAAACAGTTTTAGGTTTTCATTTCTAGGGGCAGGCACCCCCAAAAGACCATTTTTTGCTTTTCTTCAGCTCCTCCATCTGATTATTAATTATTGGGAAAACAAACAAAGAATATGGGTGGCTTTCAAAATTATCCATGAAGCTCTGTCCCTAAAATATTCCCTATTGACTATTTGAGATTTACAGAATGACAGAAAGGCACTAATCCCATGCTATTACCGTGATTCGAGATATGAAAAATTGAATGTGAAGCTGAAAGCTGTGGCTATAATTTTAAGATTTGTGCTTAATGAAAATATTAACATGGTTCAATATCACTGCTTTCTCCTGAAAGTATGCTAACTCTAAAAGAAACAAAATTTATTATCAGCAATTTCAAAGCATGTTATAAGCAGTGCCATATATTCTTCTATTATGATCCATTTTTCCTTTGCTTTATAAATACTTATTTCTTGCTGTATTTCAAGAAACATACACCTGCAAAAATCTCACCTTAAGGTTATAGGTTAGGACCATTTATATGATGAGTACTGTACAACCATCACACAGAAAATGCAGTTTGTGAAACGTAAATTCTGGAATTTACTCACAGGCTTAGAAGAAAGTGTTAGAAAGTGTGAGGCCAGGCTCAAGCCATTGCTGCGCACTCTGCTTTCAGATGCTTTGACAATACTATTGCACTGCTAGCTGTAAAGTACAGTAGTGCAATAAAGTCAGAGCATTCGTTAGCAGCAAGAATTCTGTACGAGTAATCAATGTACTCAAAATATGTATCGGAAAAAAACAGCTCAAGTCACATAGTGGTTTCTGTGGATCGTGGAGAATTGGGTAAGTTTCATGTTCACCAAGTCCTAATACAGACACACAAGAACTCACCTATTTCAAGACATTATTATTATTCATAACGCCTGTCATTCCACTGACCAAGAAGGGGGGGAAAAAAAAAAAAAAAAAAGAGAAAAGCACCCCACAAAATGCTCAACAGATCTGTCAGAAATTCAATTTCAAACAATTTGGTGCTTTTTTAACTAGAAACTACATTTCCAAATGCTTTCAATTTTTAGATTTGCCTCATAGCAAGCAAAGATTCTAAACTGCTATCAGACAGATGTTCTTAAACTGCATTACAGGGAACATTTTTTGGACACCAGAGTTTATTCTTCTTACTTGCAGGTGCTGAATCACTTTAAAATGCACTTAAACACACACTCATTTCCCAACACTGTGGATGTACATTACCACTGGGGTTACCACATGGATGTCAGAGCACCATCAAAGTAGGGGTATATTTCATAAACGTCAATAAAGGTGTTTCTTTTAAACAAAACAGTAACTTCATATAAAGAGTTGAAGAACTCTTAGGGTTTGAAGGCATTAAGATTCTTAACAACAAAATGCAAAGAAACAGGGGAATGGAGTGGAAAGAGATGAATGATTGCTGATGCACACAGAGCAACAACCGGAGTGAACTCCACGCCTGTATTTCTCTAGAACACTGGAGGACATACGAATGCTATACAGTGTTCTTTCCTCTTTGTAGGGCACTTATTTCTAAGGAAACGCATGCACACAGTTGATGGTATTTGTCATTAAAAGACCGGCTAATGTTTCTCCTTGGCAAATAACTAGAGGACAGTGAGTGCAAAAAAATAAATTAGCGACAATCCCATTTGAGAGTTGTTTTGCAAATCACCTTCTGGGCTCAGACAGTGACTTTTGACTTGTGACTATAATAAGAATAACAAGTAACGTAGATAGCATTGCTGGCCAATGCCCTTTTAACATTGCACTGCTTTTTGTGCATGATCACTAGTAGTACAACATAAAAAGGGCACTGGACAGACACCACTCGAAGTAAAAAGTAGGTCCCCATACCAAAAATACAGTGACAGAAATTAACTACCTTGCTCTCAGCTCATCTGACGGTTTATCCATTTGTTACCAAATTTTACTAAATGGATGTCCACAAAATCTCTCACAGCGGACTGGTGAAGCGCGTGCTGGAAGGCACTAGCTCAGTACGTGAAATCACGAGCACTGAAGGTTAATGAAACGGTTGCTGTACAGAAGGATACGTTTATCACCAGCAACTACCATGTGCCGTACTTTCATTAGAAGTCTGACTGTTGTCTGTTGAAGAGGTTGAAAGATCTCCAGTCCCAGCTGACTTCAATGAACACTTGTGCAGCACAGCCCTCAGGTGCTCAAGTCCTAAAGTCCAGCACCGGGTATTCTTATTTGAATTGTTAACAAGTCAGCTTTACAATCTTTCACACAATGAATCTCATCTTATATTGTAGACGTTATGGTTCATTCAGCTCTTGTTACTGTATCTTGAGCAATAGCCTCACATAACCATCGACCACCTGTTATTTTCATACACATTGTTCTTCTCAACCTCCTACAAATTAGTTTATCCCTGGTTCCATGAGACTAAAATGAAGCTGTCCGTGAAATGCATGTCAAAACCTCTAGGGAAATAAGAAGTGTTATTTTATCACACTTCTGTGGAGAGAGCTGACTTCACAGGAAATCCAGGAAAAAGAAACAATGAGAAGAAAGAAAAGCCAGAGACACAAAGCTGCAGTATGTGAGACATAGTTGCCAATATACATATTCTGACTAACATAAACAAGGACAAAGAAAAATATTGCACTTTTTGGATATAGGAAATTAATAAGTGAAATCAATAAGGTGTATTTAAGAAATCACCCTTTTCTTTAAAAAAGAAAAAAAAGAAAACAAAAGAAACAGGTGAAGATGCAACTGCCTTGTGCCACCCAGCAGTTTTAATGGAAGAAGGCAGCCACACATACCATCTTCCATCTTCTGCTAGAAGAAATTAACAGAAGGATCAAACAGAAAAATGTAAGACTAGCAGGGTGAAAACAAAATCAATTCAGTTTTCAAATGGATTACCCAAATGATTTGGGGTAACTAGAACAGGGTGAAAGCCCAAGCTATAATCTGAAAACCTTTGGAAGTTGTCATGTACCACCTGTGCGGATAATTGACCTGACCGAGCTCTCCACCTTGAAATTATTTGTGCAACAGTCATTTTGGTCTGCTCAGAAAGTAGCTCATAAAACAGTGTCCCATTGCTGTCTTCTTCCACTACCATATATAAGAGCCCCTGTTAACTTTAAGGGGACCAAAACACCTCTCTGATCATTTACATGTCCTAAAATGAGAATCACTAATAAGCAAACTTTAAAAGCAAGACTTTCAATAAAGCACAGAAATAAACCACAACATTAAATTAATAAGAATATCAACATCTAA